ATGATGGTGGAACAAAGACATGGCAGCAGGAGCAAAAAGCTAACAGCTCACATCCTCACCCACAAACACCTAGAAGAGACTTAACTATCAAAGCCTGCCCAGTGACTTCAATTTTGCCTTCTTTTATTGTTTCATTTATTTATTTGTCACTTCCTTTCCCATTATGCTCATCTCATTATTCTCTTGTAGCCTTGGTTTATAATGATCTTATGATTTGTATCAGACTATAGCAGTTTACGTATTTCTTTTTGTTGTTGCAAATTATAATCCTTCTATGTCCGCAGGGCCAAAAGTAATGTATTTAAGAGTAATACATAATGAAATAATCTAGACCAAATCTTGACAGAGAGATAAGTACTCAAATATTGAAAGCAAAATAAATTAATGGATAAATTCACTAGCATGTGAATAAGATTTATTCAAACATATTTAATTGCTAGCAATAATTAGTTCAATAATTTTTGAATGAGAGCATGTAGACCATAAAGTCTAAGGACTGGCAATTTTATTATTGTTATTAATTTTTTCATACAACATATTTTGTTCATATTATTTTCCATCTCTCAGCTTCTCCCAGATCTTCCCTATCACCTACCAACCCAAACTAATGTTGTCTTGTTCTTTCAAAATAAAACTTAAAAAAACCCTAAAACCTATCAATTGAACAAACAAAACAATAGAAGTAAAAACAAACAAAAACATGAACTCCATTTTGTGGTGGTCAATTACTCCTGTACATGGAGCTTTCCCTGGGGTGTAGTTGATATCCTCAGTGTCACTTCACTGAAGAAAACTGATTTTCCCTTTGCCAGCAGGTATCAATCATAAATAGTTTCTTGATTAGAATTAAAACTTTGTGTCTACTTCTCTGTGCTAGGATTTTGTCTAAGACTGGAATTCTTATACTGGGTCTATCACTGATTATAATACTGGGTCCCTAGAAAACCAGTGTACTCTGTAAATCCTCAGTTTTCTCATCTGTACAATGTAGGCTGCAATAGTCTTTACCATATAAATAGAGAGATCCTGTGACTTAGGAAATCAGAAGCAAAGTCCACACTCATAAGCATCAAAGAAAGGAGGCTTGCATCATTTCTTTTTTATCATGGGAACCATGAAAGGCAATGAAGACCCAACTAGCAAACACAACTGGTATTTTTCCCACATCCATCAGAGATACAGGCAATGAACCAAACCATTTAATATATTCTTCTAAAAGCTGTGCAAAATGGTATAAAAGGTATTAGGGGGCTACTCAAATGGACTTCATGACATCAAGTTCACATGTGGTTTTCTTTGCCTACATTCCAAACATGACAAAATCTAGACAAAACTTTGGGTCTGCTTTGTTTTTAGATCTTGACTTTTCTTTTTCATTTTTCCATAGTTTGTAATTATTAATTCTTTCTTGTATGATGGAAATTTATCATTATTGTGGTTTTCCTGCCTTTTTGTTATACCATGTATATTGTTAAAGCATTCCTTATCTTCCATAGACTTTCCCTTTAAAGGCCTTTATTCTCTGACCCTGCCTTGCTGGCTCAGATCCAAATTGTCAAACTAAGACTATCCTCTATACCCTTAAGTAAGGGCTTTTTCCTCCCCATGCTCTTTTTCTTCCAATTGTTGTCTTCTCCATCTTTTCCTGCATTTTACTGGAACCACGTTGAAGCACCTTGGTAGATTTAGTTTTTGAAAGTGAAAATGTCTTCGTATTTGAGTAATCATCTTACTGTCTTCATTTTTAACTAATTATTAGACTGGATATACAATTACAGATTTAACAAAATTGCCTTTAGAAAGTTGAATCCACACCATTTTCTTCTAGTTTTCAGTAGAAACTAGTGAAACAGTTGAGTATTCTGATGTTGCTTTTTTTATTTAGTAACAATTATTTTACAAATCAATCCCCCGTTTCTTCTTCCTCTCATCCTCCCATGTCCACTCCCAACCCATCCCCACCTGCCATTTTAATGCTGCCTAATAATATTTTATGTGAAATATAAAGATGTAAATATTTTTTTTCATCCCCTATATTGGGTTTCCCATTGACTAAATATGGTAACTTGCCTTCTTTCTATTCGTTGTAGCATTCTCGGGACAGACACTCCTCACCATCATCATCATCTTTCTTTTACTTCTTTAGGGGATCCTGGTCCATTTTCTGAGAACTCTTGACTTCTTTCTCACATTTTTTTCATTCTATTTATGCCTGTCTTAAATGCTTGGAATATCTTTTGCTTTATTTTCTAAGTTTCTAATTTGGAATATAACACAGCAATTGTAAGCATTAAATATTGTAAATTTTGTCTCTGTAGCATTCTCTTATTGATTTTGTTTAAGCCATTTCTGGTTGACCCAGTGTTTTCCTTTGCTGTTCTATGTGATCTTAGTATTCCTGATGGTCTTTGGCTGATTGTTTAGTAAAGAATGAAGGTTTAGATGTCTAGCACTGGCTGTTTATCCTAAAGAAATATTTTTCACTCTTGTTGAATCTAACATGAGCAATAATTCTTGAGTCAAGGTAATTTGTCTGTAAACACTTAAATTTAAGGATGGTTGGAACAGACTAAGACTATGGGGATCCTCAATTTTAGAAATAAGGAGGGATTTTACTAGGGGACTAGTAGTATAGTGTTTCCTGAGAATCCTTCTTGAACTTTTTTTTTTTTAACAACAGACTGATATTTTGTTTGTAGTTCAATACTGATGAACTCTAATTTTACAAAGATTGCACAAGCAGAACTAAATGAGATCAGCTATTTGACATTGAGACATGCAACCCTCTGATTTTAGTTCTGTTTCTACTGCCAGTCTGTCTTTCTCATGACCACTGATTTTAAGATCAAAGACTCTGACATATTAAAGCAAAATAATTGCCATTCATCTCTTCTCAGTCTTCCAATGTGTAATGTGTTTCTGTCCTCCCTTAGTGGGCAGGAACTAGCTCTGACAATACCCTCCAATACAGTGTACTCCAGGAAAATGTGAGAAGGAAATGAACTCTGCTACACTTCAGAGAAAGGAAAAGTTTAAGCACAAGTCATAAGTTATCCTTGGTCTATAGAGGAGGGCATGTAGTAGGAAAATATTGAATGTGGCAGTATCAGCCCATATCTGGATGTTGTCTCTGTCAGATGGTGTGCAAATAAGTATTAATATAATTCCCCCAAAGACGTTTCTGTTATACTGATGGAAATTTATACATACTTTGGTTGATTTGTTCTTGTGAAGTTCTCAAATCAAGAGTGGGCTACAAAAGGTGTAGCTGCTCAGTGATAGAGTGTTTGTCTAGCATTCTCAGAGCCCTGGGTTCAGTTCCAATTGAGAGAGAGAGAGAGAGAGAGAGAGAGAGAGAGAGAGAGAGAGAGAGAGAGACAGAGAGAGACAGAGACAGAGACAGAGACAGAGACAGAGACAGAGACAGAGACAGACAGAGACAGACAGAGACAGAGACAGAGACAGAGAGAGATTAGAAAAAAGTGTGATTAAAATGTAGAATGTCAAGCAGAGCTGGCTTTGATCTGTTATCCCATATACCACCGTGGTTGATTTGGCTGATCTAGCTGGTTAGTTAGATGTTCCCTTTTTCCTTCAACATTTCATGTGTGTCTCTCCCAAAGCTTTGTACCACTATCAAAGAAGATGACCTTCCCAGAAGGATGAAGACCAATTTTCAGTCAAGAGTACATGAATAGCTAGCTGTTCTTTCTCGATAGAATCTTCAAATAAGTTCTCACGGGAAACAAATGTGCCACTTTCCAAACTCTTGCTGGGGCACCTACCTGATTTGCAACACTGAAGCCTAATCAAGAGAGATTTAAAAGAGAGTCAGTATACAATGACGAAACAGATAAATTCTGTTGAGACATATTCCAAAATGCCCAGCTTTACCATGGAGGGGTGGGAAGCATCATGTTAGAAAAAATGAGCACACAGCTTTTAATGTGAGACCAATTTGGGGGGCTGCAGTTGCATCTTCATGCCATCAGCCATATGGCTTGTGCCAAACCTTTCCCAGCTTATTGTAGTTATGTGAAGAATGGGAACAATAAAACCAATTTTAGTCATTTTTTTTGAAAGTCTTGCTAGAATTCCTCTGTTTACAATGACTCAGTTCTGTCAAATTTCTGTCAGTAAATATCTTCATCCCCTTAAACTGCAAGATTCAAGAGAGATGTAGTGGCTTTCCTAAACATAATAGCCAGCAAGTTTTGTGTATTATTATGGGTTATGGAATTCTTACTTAGTGTTTTTTGTCTGTTTTCTCAATTAAATCCTTACCTCAAGCCTGTGTGGTAAACATTATTATATTACAGTTGTGGGGTATGAAGCTCTGAGTGGGTAAGTAATTTGCCCAAGATGGTTCTATTAAAAAGTGTAAATCCCAAGGTCCCAACACAAGCCTCCTTGACAGAGAAGCTTGGTCACATAGCTTCTAGTACCACAAAAAGCCAAGGGCAAGAGTCTGAGTCAGGATTTGACATATATTGAACTATATTTAAAACTGCACTGTGGACAATGAATTGCAGAACTCTGGGTTACCTTTATTTTGGGCCAGATTACTTGATTCACGGACATGTTTTGACTCTACAGTCATCGTGCTCTTGACTTCCCAGGTCTGTGTTTTACCCCGAAAGTGTTTGTGATGGGATATGTAGCCCACTGCATGGTTGATGTACACTTTGCAAAGTCATTGCACATTTAGATCAATGTGGGTTAAGAAAAATGACATTATGATCTGGATAGATGTCTCAGATATTAAAGGCTAGGCTCCCAACAACTATAAACATCAAAAACCTCCTCCTGAACCCCAGCAAAACAAACCAATAAACAAACAAAAAACCCACAAAAAAACAAACAAAAAACATGGTGTGTGTGCAAGGGCATAAATAATATATGTAGAAAACCTTGTAGTACATTGGAAACACTTCATTACTTGAGTAATTAACTTCCCAGAGTCAGTCATTAACAGGCTTTTTCATTCCTTCCTTTGACAGGTCCAGCTGTGAGATACAGCAAGTTCAAGATGTCAGAGGCAAAGCCACCTCCTCTGTTGGGACAGCACACGAAACACATCCTGAAAGAGGTCCTCAGATATGATGACAGGGCTATCGGGGAGCTACTCGGCTCCGGTGTGATAGAACAACATGAAACCAAGTGACAGAGGAGAATGCATTAGAAAGCTGGCCCTGGCTAGCCCAGACTACGCTCTGTGCATGCCTTTCCCTGGTCTTGATCCCTCTGAATGGCAGAGTGAGAACTACAGATTTCTTGCCTGGCATCTCTGGGGTAACTTTAGAATTAAAGTCTAGTGCCAAATTAAAAGCTTACTACTTTGACTTTTTCCCCAGAAAATAATTTGTTGGTTTGTGGACTTTGATTAATTCTATTGTTTCCATCCAGAAGAAATGATGACCATTAGGTGATGGAATGCTGTTCTGATTTGATTCCTCCACACATGTATGGGAACATCATATTATAAACTGTAGTTTCGATTTGTCAATTGAAAATAAAACAAAACATAATTTTCTTTCTGAAAAAGCCCTCTTTATTCTAATTTCCTTAATGCCCTAAAATGTTTGCCTGTCCCCCACACGAGCCTGAAAAAAAGCAGAACTCTTGACATTTTCTACTTGTACATAAAGTCCTCATTTAAATCTTTGTTAGGAAGTCAAAGCAATAAGCAGAATGACAGCCTCTGTGATTGATTTTAAACAGTATAACTTAATTTCAAGCCCACAAACCCTTTGTTAGTCTGTAATTTAAGCCACGAACTTTGCTGATGTCTGTTGTAAGGCTGAGCTCCACTCTGCCCGTAAGGAGTAAATATTTGCTTTATGTTGTATTTCCCTGGTGATATTGTGATGTGCAATGGAATATCAATTTCTACCTATTCATTTAGAGCATGAGTATTTGAGTACGTGAGAGGACATAGTGGTTCCTCCCTTGTTACCAAATTTTGAGACATAGCCAGATGCAACACTCTTTAAATAAATGTGAGGTGATGCCTCAAATGTTAAAGTGTAAAGAGTACCAAATGGGGACATGATAGGACATACTTCTTTGTAATTTGAAGATCTCTGTAGAAGATAGTAGCGTGTGTTTGTGTTTTGATTTGGCAGGAATTCCACTTATAGAAATATCTGTCTTGAAGATAAAAAGTGACCAGGATATGTAATTTAGAATGAATTGCCACAGAAAAGTACATAGGCCAGGTTCAGACCAGGACATCTGGTGCCACTTGGTCAGTGTCCTGGTATAATCTCCACTCATGGCCATTGGCACACATACTACAAAGCACTGGCATTATATGGTGATAGTAATTGAAAGTTAAATTACAGATGTTTGTCTTTCAAACTGATTCAAAGCTGGTTTTCATTTCATTTGGGATGGTTTGAGTCGCTTACTGGTTCTATAAGTTACCAAAATAAAAAGGATACCAAATAAAAAGTATTTCTACAGATTCTTCAGAGGAAAGCATCCTACTTTTGGGGACTCCCCCAACTGCAGTTTTGCTGTTCAACTTGTTGTACTCTGAAGAACCCCTGTTATTACTCCATTAGATATAATTTTGTCATAACATAGTAGTTTGATGCCTTCTGCATTCCTTTGCTTCAGTTCCTAATTTGTAAAGACACATATGAGATGTTCACATTAAACTAGTCGTTTAAAGATTTAATTATTTTATGTGTAAGAGTGTATTTCCTGCATGTGTGTACACATATCATTTGTATACCTGATGCCTGCAGAGTTCTGAAGATAACATTAATCCCCTGGAAACCAGATTGAGATGATTGTGAGCTACTATGTGGTTTAAAAACTGACATAGGTCTTCACAAGAACAGAGAGTGCTCTTAACCTTCAAACCATTGTTCCTGCCCCCAAGCCAGACATTTAAAGAAAATGTCTTTACAGTCACATGGTTCACATAGAAATCAGGAAAAGGTTGGGTGACAGAATTGATAAAACCACATGTCTTGAAAGCCAGATGCATCATTTGTTCCACTGAAACATAAAATCTCAAAATGCAAATATTCCTTATTGAGCAATAATTCTAAGTATGTGAATACCCATATGTAAGAGGATTCTGTCATACATAGGGCCAGAAAGTACCTCTTAAATTTTATATCAATAAAGACTGAAGTCTTCAAAAAGGATAGGACCTCCACTGAAGCATGACTGTGTCTCCAGATTCCTACCTCCACAGCTCAGAATGAACCCGGAGAACTTTGAATTTCTGGTCACTCACCCAACTTAAAGCATCTACTCCTCTCATTTAAAAAAAAAGAAGTTCAGGCTGTACTTCAAATTCACATTGATTATCAGTCCTGAAAGAAACACTGTGCTTACTAAAATTTTAAAATTTCTAGCAATATGCCCCAGATCAAATTATGCTTATAAACAAATGTGCTGTTTTAATTATCAGAGCTGGTTATTTTACACAGTCCCCAAAATAACACACTACTAAGATACCATATGCTCAAGTTCAATTTGTGTCAAGGCCTGCCTTCTGGAAGGTTATGCCTGTGGTTGGCCTCAAAAACTCCTTGAAAATCAGTGAGTTAATTGTTCCAGAATTGGAGATATGTCCACAAGCAAATGGGCTTGTTTTTTTCTGAAAATTTTTCTACCATAATTTTCTTGTTAATCAACACATTTTCCTTTGGTAAATAGCCTGATATGCTGAATGTTCTTTTAGCAGAAACAAAACGAACATTGATGACTCTTGTATGAACGCTGAACTAACTCCCCATCTGATCTTGTGTTTGAGACACCCAATGGTATTAAAGATATAGTCATGATTGGAGAAACAAAGGAGGTCTTATATTGGCTGTTTGATATTACAACCTTAGACCACTATTCTCGGATATCACTCTATGAAAGGATCTCTTTGTGAAGATCTCACAACTTCTAGTTTTAAATCTTCTTACAGAAATGTTTACCCATCAGATAAATTTGATGTTACATTTCTGACTTGTGTCTTACTTAAGAAAATTGCCTAATTTAAAATCTATGTAGACAGAGGGTATAGTTTGGTGTTAGAGCACTAGACTAGCATATATGAGGCCTCAGGCTTACTCCTCAATCCTACAAAAACAGATTATTAAAAACTACATAGATGTGAGTCTTCCTGATTATCCTCTTAGAGGGCCTAGAACTGCCTTCATTGGGAGAGCCGATTCTCTAAGTAATTGCCTAATTGCCCTGAAGAATCTGAGAAGGAATGGCAGTTGTAGGACTCCTGAGACTGTTCAAAGCTTTCGTATCTTAGAGCTGCTGACCCTTGATTCTCAATAACAAAGGAGGTATTTGGGGAAGAATATATTCTTTACCCTCCATAACCCTATCTTTGGCTACTCATTTTCATAATTATTCCCTAAAATAATCTCCTGGTATTGACTCAAGAATGAAACGCTCTCTGCTGCTAAAGTCAGCAGTCATGATTGGTGGGAACATGGACTGTTCTGTCCAATACTAGCCTTGGACTTGGCCTCAATTTTTCCTGCTCTTTCTAAAAGAGGGAAAGCTCTAGATCATGAGTAATCACTTTAGTTCAATGGCCTCCAAGATGATGGATGGTGCCTTGCCATCTCCCTGGCCCTACTGTCTGTCATAGGCTGAAAGGATCCTCATATCCTTTCAATAATATACAAAACACTTCCACACATCCCTCCCCCACACTGTTTTTCTTTGCAAATCAACCCTGTGACTGTCTGTTGGTTTCTTTGGCTCCTTACCACATCAATTGGAAGAATGCTTTTCAAGCTCCTCAACCTGTCCCCACCACCACTTCCTCCCCTGCCCCAGCAGCATAGGGCTTACTCAATTCAGCCTCTAAACATGCCTCAGAGAATTAGGGGGGAAAGAAATAAAGTAAAGCTGCCTCAGGGAAAAAATGTTATTTCTACCTCTTTACCTCCTGTGAACCCTAAAGAAAAAAAAAATTAGATTTTCTAAGTATCTCTTGGTATGAGAGATGTGGCAACCTCTGTAACACATTCATTCTAATAGCCTTGAATTTGTGTTTTAAGAAGGAATTCCTGACTGTCCTTGATACATGCTTTGTCCTATGGACTATGAATGGACATTGAGCCTCTTCCTTGGAGAAGTTCTAGAGAACTGATGGTTTCTCTTTGAGGGAGATTGTTAAGTACTTATTAAGGAAATAGAAAAGATAGCACACTGCTCCTTGCCCGAGTAAGATTGCCTTACATGAGCCAAACATGCACACAGTGACACTGGCCCTGATCACAAATTCTCTAACCCACAAGCCCAATGCTGGAAACAGTGCCTGCTACCCTGAAAGCCTTCTAATCCTGCTTTGCCAAATCATGAAGTGGGAAAGCCTGAGTCAACAGCAAACTCCAATGTCCTGTTCTTAATATCACATTAGAATGGGAAATATCCAGTAACTTGAGTTTCCAGCCCTGAGCTCATGATTCCTATCTTCTGAATTATAAATGCTTTGCGTGATTCTCCAGCTTTATTTTCTGGAAAATCCTGGTGCCAGAAAATGGGCCCAGTGCTGAGGTGCTTAGGACTCATGAGGCAAACCAGGTATGTGAATTTCTCGACAAACCATCACAAGGTCACCGTGATCAATCTGCCTGCTTAGACAATTATTCTCACACTACTCGTGTAATACGGGGTGAAATGAGAACCCAGGTGGGTTTCTGTGTGGGTGCATTCTGGGGGAAGGTTTATTAACTTGGCAAAAAGAGCTCCCAGATATAGAATGAACCCTGGTAGGGAAAGTAGAAGACTCTTTCAGTAGTCAGAGCTATACCTTTAATTTCCTGCACAAAATGGAAGTAGATTTATAATGTGTCAACATAAAGATTTTAAAATACTATATATCATATAGTCACCTGTCAGAACTTATAATAAAATTCAGCAATGTTAGAAGATTGTTTGGTGAGTTCTATGACTGATATTAAATTTAATGTTATACAATGTTGGTAACTGATTCTCTTATATTCTGACGTGTAAGGCACTGTTTAATGTAAGTTTCCATTGAAGTTACTTACACATAGTAACTCCTATATTAAAGATGCCTGGAAAGGCCTGGAGGGCATTCTCCATGAAGAGAAAATCACATCCCTGTATGAACATTCTTGTGCTCTCTAGTCTGTCCTGTTCAATGGGACTAATTGGTCCTTTGCATTCTTACTGCAAACATCACTTTCAGATAATATCCTTAAACTCATAGCCTTCTCAGCTTTAAATAGTCTTGAAGATGAATGGGCAGGGCACACAATGGAAGCAAGCAAGACCCTAACACAGACTAATAGCTGGGAAACCAGCATAGGACTGTTCCAGACCCCCCCCTCCGAAAGAGAATGTCAGTTTGGAGGGCTGGCTAATCTATGGGGCCTCTGGTAGTGGATCAGTATTTATCCCTAGTACATGAATGGACTTTGGGAACCCACTCCACATAGAGGGATACTCTCTCAGCCTAGACACACAGGGCAGGGTCTAGACCTTGCTCCAAATGATATGACAGACTTTGAAGATCCCCATGGATGGCCTCACCCTCCCTGGGGAGCAGAAAGAGGACAGGATAGGGGGTGGTGGGGGGCAGGGTAGGAGGGGAGAGAGAGGGAACTGGGATTGACCTATAAATGAAGCTTGTTTCTAATTTAAAATTTAAAAAGGGAAAAAATAAATATAGAATTGCTGATGAAGTTACAATTCAGTAACAACTCTCCCAAAGGCCAGAGACAAGGCTAGAAAGTGTGTGTACCTGCATTTCATCATGAGAGAAATGAAAACAGGTGGCACATCATTGAGAGCAGAGAACTTCATGGGGAGGTGCTTCTTATCAGTGCAAACAAATATGGATATCAGAAATCCTAAAATTGCCAGGCAGGATTGATCCCTATTGCCAACAAAACCGTAGAACTCTGGGCAAAAGGAAAACAAGTATGGGATATCTACAGTGATATGTGAATCTGGTAGGAGTTGAAAATGTCCATCAGCAGAAAAGCAGCCATTTGTAAAAAAAAAAATCTATCAACAAATTACTTGCAAAACCCGGTCTTTTGGTGTTAGTTTGTTTATAACATTTTTAGAGTGTTAGGACTTACGGTGATGGAGGCATATTTTTTTCCTGTGAAGCCAAGAAGGAAAATTTTGTGAGTTGCACAGTTGTTGTCCTCTCAACTATTATCATCTTTGTCTCTTCTCCTGACCTAATGGAGCCACTTATCAAAATTGAGATAGAGTAGCCTGGAGACTAATTGCTATCCTCTTTCCACTGTCTTAGTCATCATAATTCTTCAGTGGTTACTATTGATGGCATCTATTCTACAACAGATGATGCATATCTTTTTGATAGCCTCTTTTTCACCAAGAAGACTGCAAACTCTGTAGGAGACTATATCAAATTTGTTATTATGCAGAACACCTATGATAGTCTTCAAATAAGTCTATCATCAATTCTTCCTACTTTCTATATGCACTCAAGTTTTCCCTATTGGGAAATGGGTTATGTTTCTCCTTGTGAATATGAGCTGTTCTTGAGACATACTGTCCTAGCTTATTTTCCCTTGTTTGGGTAAATATTCTGACAGAAAAGCACTCAGAGTTCTTAACTACTGACCCATTCTCATGCTATTTATCATTTCCAACAATACTAATATATTCCGTTACCAAGATTAAATTTGAAAAATAATAGCA